GTCCATCCGTGAAGCGGTTGCGAACACTTGAGACGAGTGCCGGTGGCGCCAAGGCGAGAGCGGCACTTAATCTGTCATCCCTCCATCCGTGAAAGGCGGCTGCGTGCTCTTCAGAAGAGCGTGCGCGGCGCCACGGCGGAAGGCGAGAGCACCACAGCGAAAGCCACGACCCCTCCATCCGTGAAGCGGTTGCAAGCTTTTGAGACGGCGATGTGTGGCGCTCGGGCCAGAGCCACATACTGAAAATGAGCCTCCCTCCATCCGTGAAACAATTGCAATTTTTGAAGACGAGCGTGTGCGGCGCTACGGCCAGAACCGCATTTCACCCCCCCCCTTCCATTCGCGAAACGATGACACGAGTGTGCACGGCGTTTTGGCGAGAGCCACGTTTTGAAAACGACCCCCTCCATCCATCCGCGAAGCTGTTGCGTGTTTGTTCTGATACATGTGCGTGGCGCTGAATCCAGAGCCACATCCTGAAAACTACCCCCACCCGTACAATCGCTGCAGACCGTTCAGACGAATTGCGCGGCAGTGGTGCAAGAGCCACACTCCCACCTTCTCGATCCGTGAAGTTGTCGCAACGTCCAAGGTCCAGGATCATACACATGGTGATGAAGACCCGGGCGAAGCGTCCGGCCCAGCCTACCGACACGTCTGTGGGTGCGACTGGCAGGAGTTGCTTACATGTCAGGAACAAGGGATGATGATGATGATGATGAGGAGGAGGAGGAGGAGGAGGAGGAGTAGGAGGAGGAGGAGGAGGAGGAGGAGGAGGAGGAGGAGGAGGAGGACGCGGCGACGGCGACGACGAGGACGCTTGACGGCCGCGGCGGCGATATCGGGGACGGCGACGACTAAGAACGGGCAAGGAGGTGGAGGAGGGCGACGCGGACGACGACGGGGAGGCGGAGGAGGGATGAGGAGGGAGAAGGAGGAGGGGGGCACGTCGCCCTCCTCCTCCTCCTCCGCCAGCGTCGTCAAGCGCCGCCGCCGTCGTCGCGTCGTCGGCGCCGCCGGCGCCGCCGCCGTCGGCATCGTCGCCCCCGTCGTCGGCGCGGGGCGCGCTGCCGCCGGACGGCGGCGCGGCCGGCTCGCCCGCGCCGCGGGCGGCCGCCGCGCCAGGCCACGCGCCGGGGGGCCCTGCACCGGGGCGAACAGGCGGCCCGCGCGCGCCCGCGGCGACGGCGACGGCGGCGACGGCGACGACGGCGCCGACGGCGACGGCGACGGCGACGGCGACGGCGACGACGACCACGATGGCGACGACGACGACGACGACGACGAAGACGGCGGCGGCGGCGGCCCGTTGCGGCGGCGGCGGCGGCGGCCCGCGGCGAACGACGGCCCGGCAGCGCGCCCGCAGCGCCCCCGTAGGGAGCGAGTCCGTACGGTTTGCTCGGTGCGCCTCTCCTTGCAGGAGGCGCTGTCCGTGCGGAGTACCTCTGCGCGGAGTGTTCGGTCTCCGTCCAGACCCATTCCTTTGAGACTTCGCTCATCGAGAGTAATGAAGTCCCCAACCCTGATAAGAGAAGGAAGACGTGGCCTCCATTGGGTTCCCGTCTTTGCGATGGGGATAATGCATCTGGGCGGTTTTAGTCTGATACCTCTGCAGAAATACCCCCTATCCCTAATGTTTCTGGCCCTCCTGTCTTACGTCCCTCCCAATAATGGGTCACGGGTCATTATATTGCTATTCTAAATTGGGCAATCATCGCCCCCCCCCTTGTATCCGCTGGGGGGGTTGGGCACGTGCTGTCGGATGGGGTGGTGGGGGGGTAGGAGGAAGAGGAGGAGGAGGAGGAGGAGGAGGAGGAGGAGGAGGAGGAGGAGGAGGAGGAGGAGGAGGAGGACCAGAAGGAGCAGGAGCAGGAGGAGGAGGATGAGGAGGACCAGTGTAAACCCAAGAGTCGTCAACCATGTTGGAGTGAACCCTCCTTTCAAGCTCCCTCTTCAGGGGCCCCTACAACGGTTCATTTCCATTGATGGAACGTTGGAGGACGCCCGTTTCAAGACCCTGAAGCATGTCAAATCATTGTTCTCGGGATTCCAACGCTACGGATCAACCTGACTAATGCATCTTGACGATCCTGAATCGTGCCAGAACGCCACACTCCTAGGACTTCAAAACAGAGAATCAACGTAATCGTTGCAGCCGCATAGTTCTGAGTCCTTTCAAAACACCATGTCTGATACTAAAAGTCCTTGATGAGGGGAGCCCGTAAAACCCTTTCAAATTATTAAAACGAATGTGCGCCGCGCTCAGGCGAGAGCGACATTTTGAAAAGGAACCGCCCTCAATCCGTGAAGCTCTTGCATTCTTTTAAGTCGAATGTGCGCCGCGCTCAGACGAGAGCGACATTTTGAAAACGACCCGCCCTCAATCCGTGAAGCTCTTGTATTTTTCAAACGAATGTGCGCCGCGCTAAGGCGCGAGCCACGTTTTGAAAACCACCCGCCCTCCATATGTGAAGCTGCTGTCACTTTGTATGCTTCAGAGTCATATATGGTGAGGAAGGCTCATGCGAAACGCCCGGCCCGCCCTAAAAATTGGCCTCGGGGTGCGACAGGGAGAAGTTACATATATATATATATATATGTATGTATAAGGAGAAGGGATGGAGGAGGAGGAGGATGAGGAGGAGGAGGAGGAGGAGGAGAAGGAGGAGGAGGACGGTTCCCGGGGGGACGGATTTTGAGTGTTATTGGAAATCTATTCAACGTGATTATGATAAGGTGGAACGCCTGTTTTTTGCCAAGGGTCCCCGTGCGTTGCTCACCGGCTTCCAACATTAGAATCAGGCGATCAATACTGATGTATCGCATTGGAGCCTTGGCGCTGGACCTGTTGCAGGTTCCTGGAACACCTCCGCCTCGCAGCCTGTTCGTCCCCAAGGGTGCTGGCGGATCTCTCTCTCTCTCTCTGTCTTTCTCTCTCTCTATATCCTCACCCCCTCCTTCCCCCTGTCCCTCCTCCCCATCCTCCCTGCTCCCTCGGCCCCCCCTGGCTCCTGCCTCGCTCGCCACCGTCGTGGGCAGACTCCGATGGCGGCGGCGGCGGCGACGACGACCGCGGCGGAGTCGGCGGCGGTCGCGGCGGGCGGCGGCGGCGGCGGCGGCGGACGACGTCGACGGCGGCGCACGGCGGCGGCGTCGGCGGCGACGGCTGCTGCGGCGACGGCGGCGCCGGCGACGGCGGCGAGGGCGTGGCCGCGCGCGCGCCCCTCCGCCTCTGTGCGACCCCCTTCCCTGCGCGCTGGAGGGCACGACATGGGCTCTGGCGCGCCGGCGGGGCAGCAGCAGCAGGACGCGCCGGGGCGGCGCCCGCGCGCGCGCCAAGAAGACGGCGGCGACGGCGACGTCACGACGACGACGCGGACGACGAGGAGGAGCAAGAGGACGATCACGACCACGACGATGACGACGACGACGACGACGATGACGACGACGACGACGACGACCACGACCATGACACGACGACGACCACGACGACGACGACGACCACGACGACGACGACCACGACGACCACGACGACCACGACGACGTCGTCACGACGACCACAACAAAGACGACGTCACTGCCACGCGTGGGCGCCTGGGCATCTTGGAAGGCGGCGGAGCGCTCAGGTGCTGCCGCTGCGATGGCACGGCTGGCGGGACGTGCGGCAAGCACGCGGGCGAGAGGCTGCAGCATGCTTGGCACTGCGCCAAGCGCAGTGGCCGCCAGCGCGCACACGGGAGCGCCGCCAAAGCGCTGAAGCAGGTCGTGGCCCTCGGAGGCCGCGCCGCGGACGAAGCGCGCCACGCCCCAGAGCTGTCCAAGCGGCAGCGGCCAGAGCGTGCAGCGGAGGGGGGGGCGGCCACAGACACCGACGTGCGAGGAGGCGATCTCGGACATCGTCGCCAGCTACCCTGGGCGAACTCCACCAGTGGCGGCCCGATGTCTCAATCCGCTCGCCGCTCGGCGCTCCGTTCGGCGCTGGCGGGCCAGCATGCGGCGGACCTCGCCGGCGCTGCAGAGCGCGTGCCGGAGCAGAGGACAAGGCACGACGTTGCGGCCCATCGGGGGTTGCCTCAAGTTGGGCGTGTCCCTCTGCAGGGGGAGAACTCACACATAGTTTAAAAAGAGTCTGTTGACGATTTTTCGACCATGTTTGATCATGTTGGGGTATGTGTCGGCATTTTTGTTCCTCCTCCCTAGATTTTCCGTCCGAAGTCCGCCTGTAGGGGGACATGCCCGACCCACAGTCGGGGCCCTGAAGAAGGAACCCTTTTGGTTGGGGAGGGGCTCCGCGTTCCTTAATTGTTTCGCAGCTTGCCCTGGATTTTCCTTAGGTTTTCGATGGGAAATCGAAGTTCAACTTATGGAAAAGAGGGGCCTCGTTCCTTATTTTGGGTTCCTTAGGTCAAGGCCCCGACTGTATGTGTAGGCATTTTTGTTCCTCCTCCCATCGCTGGTTGCCTCAAGTCGGGCGTGTCCCTCTGCAGGGGGAGAAATCACGATAGTTTCGACCATGTTTGATCATGTCCGTGTATGTGTAGGCATTTCTGTTCCTCCTCCCTAAATTTCAGGAGGGGAAGAAACACACAGACACAATTAATCGTCGACTCCCCAGGAAAATATGGGAAAATATGGGAAGTGGGGGGGAAGGCAAAGACCGCAGAGAATATGGGAAAAGATGGGGAATCCTTGTATTTGTGTGTGTGTGTGTGTTTATTTGTGTGTCCCAGGGCCCCTTCACACTGGCGCGCATGGCGCGCGCGCGCGGAGGGCGGAGGGCCTGCAGCTGCGGAGGAGGGCGGTGCCGTGCGCGCGGGCGCGGGCGGCGTGCTGCTGTCGCTGGCCTCGGAGGCAGCGGGCCCGCACGCAGCTGCGATGCCGGATCCCGGGCCGGGAGCCGGGGGCTGGCGACGCCGAGGAGTCGTGCGTCGGGGGGTTGGGCAAAGAGGGGGGTGATGACTAGGGGGGGGGGGGTGGATCTCGTGGCGACGGCCGTGAGTTGCCTCCCCAGATCTCATGGCGCCTCTTCTCGTTCCATGACGTCCCTGGCCGGCCCCCCCCCCCCCCGCTGTGCCGCGCACGCGCCGCTGGCCATGATTTGCGCCCCCCCCTCTCTCGGACGCCCCCCTCTTGGCCGACCCCGAGTGCGGGCACGCCCAGCGCATCCCTCGAACTTACGACGGGGCGACCCGGCGTGGCACTGTGCGGGGATGCCGACGCGTGCGGCCTCCGTGGTCGCAGAGGGCTGCACGCGGAGGCGGGCGGCGTGCTGCTGTCGCTGGCTTCGGAGGCCGGGGCGCACGCATCAGTGGCGCCAACATAGCAGAGCGTACTTCGTTCGGAAAGCGATAGGACGGGCCTGGGGCGTCCCGGAGAAGCTCGTTCCGGATCTCGAGGTGTGTTTCGTGCGGCTTTTTCTTGTTGGTCAGGGACGAAGACCAAACAAAAGTCCACGCGAAATCCGCGTCGTTTTTTCCTTCGCACGTCTGCAAGGCCAGCGCAATGACACGCAGCTGCGATGCTAGTTTCCAGGCTGGCAGCCGGGGCCGGCGACGCCGACGAGTCGTGCGGGCACGGATATCGCATCCCTCGAGGGGTGCGTCTCTTTCGTTTTTCATGGATTCTGGTCGGCCCAAAAGCTTGGAACGTGGGGGGGCGACCTGGCGTCGCAGTTTGCAGGGATTCCGACGCGTGTGGCCTCCGTGGTCGCAGAGGGCTGCGGTTGAAGATTCACTGACGGCATCTGGTTGGGGGCATCTCATTGAGATGCCCCCAACCAGAAATCCTCATTTAAAGGCATCAACTCCCCACCAGATGAAAGCATCGAACTCATTTATGCCTTGAAATTGAGAGCAAAAGGCATCCTTGAAATTGAATTTCAAGGATGCCTTCGTTGTCCTCCGACTCGGGTCCGCCATGCTGCGGGGTCTGGCTCGTGCAGCTCTGGGGCGCCCGAGGGCGCTCCAACGGTCGCCCCGGGGCGCCTGCCCCTCCTCCTCCTCCTCCTCCTCCTCCTCCGCCTCCTCCGCCTCCTCCTCCTCCTCCTCCTCCTCCTCCTCCTCCTCCTCCTCCTCCGGGAAAGTTAGCGGTTGCAGGGTCGAGTTCGCAGGCGTTTTCCGCGAGCGAGGCGCCCAGTGCAGCAACCGTCTCGGGCTGGACGAGAGGGGGGGGACTGGGAAAGGGGGGGGTACGAAATTTGCCGCGTGCAGCTGGTTTCGGCCTCACCGAGGGGCCCATTCCTCGATACATAGCCGCCTCCAGCGCCGGGAGGCGCCGGGAAAATCAGATGCGTGAGCTGATTCTCAGACCCCCCCCTTTGCTATCCCCCCCTTTCGCCCGACCCGACAGTCGCACTCCAGGGCGCCGTGTACAGTCGAGGCTGATTCGTAGGTCGACCCTGCCAAATCGAGGGCACCCTCGTGTCCTTTGCCTCGCCACCCGTGCTTCTACACTCATGTGGCGATGTGGCCCTCGGAAGAGTCTTGTGTCCTCTCGCGTGTTCTCCTTAATCCACCCCGAGTGTAGGGCGCGCCCAGAGGCGCGCTTACGGGCCAGCTTACGGGCGCGCCTGCGGGAGGCGCTCGCGCGGGCGTCTCTCGGGCGCGCACAGCGGGGCATTTTTTTGGTGCGCGGCGTGGCGCGCTGCGTGAACGCGTGGCGCGCCTGGAGCCAAGTGGCCTGCACCAGGCGCCCTCCGCGGGCGCTCACAGGTACCGGTGGGGCCCATGCCAAGAATCACCCTGCTCGTTTCCAGGGTGCCCTGGGTTTCTTGGGCTTCCACCGATTTGCGATGGAAGGCGCTGCGTTCCGACGCCAACAGCCACTGGACGCCCTGGGGTCTCCGGGTGGGGCTTCCTATGGAAGGTTTACTGTGGACGGACCTCCACTGCAGGGCGCGCGTGCGCTGCGAGAGCGGGTCCGCGGACGATCCGCTCCCGCGCCCCTCAAAATTCACGTGTGTTCGCTGAAGGGGTGAAAAGAAAAGGGCACCACAACATCGTCAAGAGAAAAACGGCGATGAACGGGTGCTGGGGGTGTTGATTTCATTCAGGAGGAAAAAAACACACAGACACAATCAATCGTCGACCCCCAAGAACATATGGGAAAATATGGGAAGTGGTGGGGAAGACAGAAGCCCAGGAAATATGGGGAAATTTGGGGAATCTTTCTCTTTGTGTGTACTTATCTGTGTGTCCCAGGGCCCCTTCGTTCATCCCATCGAGCTGTCAGGGCGACGAGGAGGCGGACGGCGCGGCCGCGGACCGCCGCGGGGGCGAGCTCGCGGAGGGCTCCTTT